GCAAGTCCTTTGGTTGATCTCTTAACACCGCCCCCCCCGCGCCCCCAGCAAAGCTCAGTTCTTATGGGTTTATTTCTTCTTGGTGACTGACATGCATTTGGTGTCTGTGGGAACGTCCCTACTTGGTGAGCTTGACGCCCTGGAATGAGTCCAGGAGCCCCAGCAACCCCCCTGTCTGTCTCTCCCCCCGGCAGCAAGTACTACGAGAAGGAGGCATTGCTGGCAGACCCCGTGTTTGGCCCTATCCTGGCCTCTCTTCTAGGTGAGCCTGAGAGCAGAGCGGCCTACACTGGGCCAGTGGGAGCGGGGGGTCAGGTGCTGAGGGGGCACCATCCGAGCCAGCTGTCCCTGTCTCCACAGTGGGACCCTGTGCTTTGGAGTACACCAAGCTCAAGACAGCCGATCACTACTGGACCGACCCTTCTGCTGATGAGCTGGTCCAGAGGCACCGTATCCGGGGTCCCCCTAATCGCCAGGACTCCCCTGCAAAGCGCCCAGCCCTAGGAGTAGGCATCCCTTCCCTACCTCTTGTGCTCATCCAAGTTATGCCCCAGGGGCCTGTAGGGAGGGGCAGCTGGTCACTGTGCTCTTTGAAGATACGGGATGGGCCTTGGCGATGCCCCAAGGTAGTGGCCATCCCAGAAGAGCCTTTTCCCCACGCTGGCACTTAATGGCAGGAGCACACCACTGGTTTGCGGCTAGCAAGCAGAGGGTGGCTGAGAGCAAACCAGGGGCAGGGGGACCCCTGGGGTCAGCTAGAGAGGATCTGCCTGGAAACCTAGGGTCCTCCCTCCAGGGCTGATTTCCCAGGGCTGGGGCTGAGCTGGGACTTTGTGCAGATCCGGAAGCGGCACTCGAGCGGCAGCACGTCGGAGGACAGGCTCGCGGCCTGCGCCCGGGAGTATGTGGAATCCCTGCACCAGAACTCCAGGACGCGGCTGCTCTACGGCAAGAACAACGTGCTGGTGCAGCCGGTAGGAAAGCTTAGTGCTCGCCCTCATCCTCTCCCGAGGGCCCCAGGAAGGAACCTTCCAGCCACATTCATCCCTTCCTTAAGGGGCTTGACTAAAGAGAACCCGCCCCACCCCAATTCACTGATTCATGCCCAGTCTTGAATGGGCGGGAGCCGGAAATGGCATCTGTTCTGGCTGAGAACCAGAGCATCCAGGGGTGGGAATGGCAAGCCAGTAGGCAGCTTGGGTATGGCTGGCCCAGGACATACCTGGCATCCAGGAAGTTGACAGGGCGGAGCCAGTGGCACCAGGCCAACCAGGAAGAGTTTATGTCTACATCTGTGTGTGGCTCGTGCCTCCCCTGCTGCTGCCCGGCCCCATTCCAGGACCCTGGATTGGACTAGCTGGGCCTCCCCCACTCCCACCTGCAGCGCGTTTTCCATAGGCCATTCCCGGGGGCCTCTCAGCCCCTCATCGTCTCTATCTTCTGGTGTGTCTCCTCCCCGCAGAAGGAGGACATGGAAGCTGTCCCCGGCTACCTCTCCCTGCACCAGTCTGCAGATAGCCTAACTCTGAAGTGGACCCCCAACCAGCTCATGAATGGGACTCTGGGGGACTCCGAGCTGGAAAAGAGGTGGGGGCTTTGGGACTCACCGCAGGAGCCACGGAAGGCAGTGAGAGCTTGCCAGCAGGCGGGGGGGATGGAGAGGCCCAGCCTGCTCCAAGAGGCAGCTCACAGCTTACCCGATGCCAAGAATTGCAGAGAGAGGCTGCCTGGAGATATTCCCAAGCTCTCTAAGATCCAGCCAGTCCTGGACATTAAGGGGTTTTCCTGAGCCAAGCTCGAGGCATCTGAGGCGGCCAGGCTCTGTGCCATGCGGGCAGCACGGAGCCCAGAGGGACATGGCTGGCTGAGGTCACTTCTCGGCTGTGGTCTTCGTGTCTACAGGGTGGTTTCAGGGGTGTCGGGGCCAGGAAGTGAGGAAGGCAGGTTGGCTGGTCTGGCGACACAGTGACACCAATTTGATTCCTTTCCAGCGTTTACTGGGACTATGCCCTGGTTGTGCCCTTCAGTCAGATCGTCTGCATCCACTGCCACCAGCAAAGTGAGCCTCCCTTGTCCTGGGCACAGGGGTGGGGGAAGAGAGACTGCCTTCTCCCAGTCACACACTGTGCATGGCCTGTTGAATGTCTGTCCTCTCTTGGTCACCCCCACACTCTAGCCCTACTGTCCTCCTACCCAGTCTGGAGGCATGGCCAGCTGTGCTGCAGCGGTGGCTGGGAGGTCTTGGAGGCCCAGCTTCGCTCACCCATGTTCACCCCCCCTCCCCCAGAAAACGGTGGCACACTGGTACTGGTGAGCCAGGATGGCATCCAGAAGCCACCGCTGCACTTCCCGCAGGGAGGACACCTACTCTCCTTTCTGTCCTGCCTGGAGAATGGGCTTCTGCCTCGGGGACAGCTAGAGCCCCCACTCTGGACCCAGCAGGGGAAGGTACGCAGGGCTTGGGAGGCTCTGGGTGAAGGGATGTGTGAGCTGAGTTCTCTGCCCACCTCCCTTCCTGTCCCCACACAGAGTTCCTAGGAGCAGCCTTGGGTGGGACCCTGGGATGGACTCTGCCCTGCACAGGCTAACCACCCATCTCTCCCTCCCCAGGGGAAGGTGTTCCCCAAGCTGCGGAAACGTGGCAGTGCGCGGTCCGTAGATGTGGACGAGATGGGCACAGGCTGGGCCACAGACTACGTGTTCCGGATCATTTACCCTGGTCACAGGCATGAGCACAGTGAGTGTCCCATACTTCCGCTGTGGAGAGAGAACGATGCTTCGGGGGTGGGGGAGGACAGCATCACCCAGGAGGGGCAGCAGGCAAGGTCCACTGACCAGGCCGGGTTCAGGACTTAGCCTCTCATTGGACCTTTTTCTGCAGATCATCCCCCTGAGAATCTGCTTCTCTTCTACCTGCTGTCTTTCCCTTCCCTGGTCACTCCAAGACTCTTGGCTCAACTGACCCAGGTGTCTCTACACAATATTCTCTTAGTCATCCATTCACACCCTCCCCGGGGGTGGGGCGAATGTGGTGAGACTAGATACAGAGGGTGGCGGACTCTCCATTTCACCTCGGCTGCTGCCTGACCGCCACACGGTGGCCTGGGTGCGGGGCCAGTGCTTCTTTTGGGATGGTGCACATTGTTCACTGACTCCACTGGCGCCAGAGCCCTCCTCACACCAGCTGCTGATGAGAGGAGCCGCAACGGGAATAGGGGTGCATCTGAAGAGGGTGAGGCTTTCAGCTGGGGGGGCTGGAGCTGAAAGTGGCTTGGCACTTGTGGGTCCTGTCCCCCTGGACATACCCCTCTGGATCCTAAGAGATGTCCACCAAGCCCAGAGTTCCCCTTCTGGTCAGAGTGTTCTGCTCCCCACAGCTTTCTCCGGGCCAGCCTTGCTGATCTCGGGAAGAAGGTCAGGGAATTTGCCAGCCCGGAGCACTTGCCAGACCACCTGCTCCCTAAATTTCCTAACTTGTGCCAATAAGTTGTCAACAAGTTGTCTCTGTCATAGCAGACAGATTACCCAGACTGTACACACATAGCCGCAGCACAAGGAGTCCCAGTAGGCTTGAAGGGCAGAGATGCGGGGACCCCCTTCCCCGCGATGTGCCTGACGAGGAGACACATTTGCCAGAGCGTGTTTGCACACCTGGCATTTAATCTCGGCCTATCGCTCGGTTTAGGTTGTTCAGGCTGCACTTCCTCTCTTAAGCCTTGGCATTTCCCATTTCTGGTCACTTCATTTCCCTGGAGGACAAGCCAGGTGCCAAGGAGCTGAAACCCAGCGGGTGACTCAGGCTCCTCGAGAGCAGCTCTGGGAAATCCTTGGAGGAGAAGTTTGGATTTATAGTCTGAAGGGGGAGATTTGGGGTAATCTTCCGATTTGGCCCAGGCTGACCATGACACAAGCTGAAGGTTGCTCGCGACCCTTCTGTTGACAGTCACGCCCAGCCTGAGCCAGGGCCGGGAGCTCCTGAGCTGCCGGCCTGTCCCAACTGGTCTCCGTCTTTCACTACCCTGGCTCCCCCATCAGTTCTCTCTTCTCTGTTCTTCCTAGGAGGGCCCTCTTCAAAAAGTGGAGCTCTGTAGCCGCTGCCGTCCCCCCCACTTCCTTCCATACTCTCCCCAGTAAATCGGAGGACTCTCAGGTCCCCTCTCTTCCATCCCTGCAGGCTCAGGGTGACCCGGACTCCATTCTGCTCCCCAGGAGGACGGATCCGGTCCCTCCTGCCCCAGGACCAGGGTCCTTATGCTTTGCTCTCTCGCTGTTCTCTTTGAGCAGTCACTATTAACTACCACCACCTAGCGGCCAGCCGCGCGGCCTCGGTGGACGATGATGAGGAAGAGGAGGATAAACTACACGCGATGCTCTCAATGATCTGCTCGCGGAACCTCACAGCTCCCAATCCGATGAAAGGTTTTTATCCCTCCCTTTCCCCCTGACCTTCCCCTTCCCTCTGCCCCACCCCCTGGGCCCACCGGCCACCCACCGCAGGGGCTCGAACTGCAGTGTTGGCATTATGGGACCTGCACCCTGGGTGGTTCCCTTCCATCAGGAGGCAGATCTGGGAGGGTAGAAGGAGGATGTGTGCAAGAAGAGGGGACCAAGCAAAAGGCAGTTGGCTCTGGGCTCTGTGAGGAGAGGGAGGAGGTCCCGCGGTGAGAAGGCCTGATGACCTGGTTGTCCCTTGGAAACCCTGATTGGCTGTCTGAGCCCTGTTCCCACTCTTGGACACACCCAAGACAGTGTCTCTCTTTCTCTCCTGCTGGCTGGGCAGACTGGCCTCTGGGCCCTGTGCCTCTGACTCCTAACTCAACGGAAATAGGACAGAAGCACCAGGCCCCTCCGTGCAGAGGGAGGGGCTGGACAGCGCCTGCAGACAGGAGCCACCAGGGGGTCAGGTGAGGGGTGGGACCATCCTGGCAGGAGACCTAGGGCTCTGTTTACCCAGCAGGCCTGGGTGTTCCAGCAGGCACTGCCTGGTGCTTTAGTATGAAGTCTAGAGTCTAAGTAAGGTATGTTCCACCCTCACGGACCTCAGATTGCACAGCTGCAGAGGTCCCTTCATGGATAATGACTCAGCACAGTGCTCACAGCCACTCTGTCCATTGCCCACCTTAGCACAGAGCTCGGCTGGTGGAGAGGGAACCCCACTCTCTTTCTGGAGTGTGATCATCAGCCAGGGAACCTGCACGGGCTAAGCCAGGGTGCTCAAGGGATATTGGTTATGAAGGGCCAGCTCTCTTGGAGTTTAGGGGAACTTCCCCATCGCCGTGCCAATAGTAAGTCCCCCCAATCCCTGGGCAACCGAGTCCGTGGCCTAGCACATCCTCAGCAACCCTGCCAGCTGCCCTTTACTCATCACGTGCCTGCCTTCATGTCTATCCTCCCTCCCAGCCATTCCTGTGGGACCTGCAGGCCAGCCTGGGTGGGAACACAGGGGAGCCTCACTTGTGACGTTTATTGCCTGCACACGGCCTGCCATCTGGTTCCTTACAAGCCTGGGCTTGGGGCTGATGCTTATTGCAGGATGACTGGCTTTAAACAGTGTGGGAAGGGTGAGTTAGGAGAGCCCGGGCTGGCCCTTCTTACGCCCAGGAACTGGCTGGGGACAGGATGGGGGCGTCCCGGCCAAGCCCCTGTCTTAGAAGACTTGGTGGTAGGAAGTCCATTCCTGACTAGTCTTCATGCTGAGGCCTCCAGGGTCAGAGAAACCTTCAGGCCCACAGGGTGCAGAGGCCTCAGGGCCTATGTGGGCATTCCCTTGGGGAACTAGGGCCAGCCTACCCTGTAGACCAATATGCAGCCCCTGGGACTCTAAGACTTGGGAAAGGGGAGGAGGCATGAGAGCAGAGTCCGCAGGTGGTTGGGGAGATGGTGTGGGGGCCCCCCTCCACTCCATTCCATAATGACAACACTGTCGAGTCCATCCTGCTAGCCGTTGCTTTTCAGGCCTGCAACATGCTTGACTTGTGCATGTGAATTAAGTGGCGGGTGTCCAGACTCCTCCCCTCCCCCTCCCCCCTTCTGCTGCCTCCCCACAGAGCAGAGATGCTGTTCACTCTAATTCTGCTCCAGGCCAGGCACCTTTCACTCGGAGTCTTAGGGGCTGTGGGGTTCACCCACCCTGATTGTTTTACATCAGACTTCCCTCAAGCTCAGAGGAGAGAGTCAGAGTCAAAGCTGACCCAGCAGCGCCCCCGCCCCGCCTGCTGCCCCTTGCCCAGTCACTCCAGAGCTCCAGCTGTCTGCACTGGGTTAATTCGGAGACGCATATTCAATGCTGGCTGGTTCAGCTCCTTCCTGGAGAATTAAGGTGAAGAGCATTGACCCAGGAGACTTGCCCTGGCTGAGCCCTGCTTTCTGGGCATGAGCTCGTTTCCCTGTGTGCCCACCCTCTGCCCTCTGCACCTGTTGCCCCCACTGCCTGCCCGCCTGCTGCCTGCTGCCTGCTTGGCTGGGCCTGCTCCCACCCCAGCTCCTCTCAAGACTGGCCTCTCTCCTGCCTGCTGTAGGGGCATGAGTTGGGCTCCTGCCCCACCCCACCTGCATCTGCCCGCCCCCCTTCTTCCCAGAGTCTTTGGCAAGGCCTGCAACTGCTCACTCCCAGAGCCGCAGCCCCTCCACACCAAGTACGTTCCCTTAATTTGCCTCCTGGTGGAGCTGAAGGGCCAGATCTACAAAAATCCCACCAAGGGTCTGGGAAGAGATTCCCAGCCAACATGGGGCAGCCCCTGAGGGGACTGGAGGGCTCAGCTCAGCCCCTCCCACCAAGGCACCCCCAGAGCTGGAGTCTGGCTCCCACAGAAGCCAGGCCTCCGTCTGCTCCAGACTCAGCAGGCCAGGGCCCAGGAAGAAATACTGCTTGAAAGAATCCATCACACACACAGCTGCCTTTCCCTGCTCTTTACTCTTCTCTGTCCCTCCCTCCCTCCTAGTGCCATCTCCTAGTCCTTTCACTTCCTGCCCTCACTTTGCTTCATCTTTGTGGCTCCCTGGACCTGCTGGAGCCCCCCTGAGCAGCGCCTTGCCCCACGTGGGCCCTGGAAGCTCTCAATGATCTTGAGTTCTGATTCCAGTCATCTGGGCAGGCTGAAGGGCTCCATCTGCCTTTGGCGTAGATATGTCCAAGGAGCTGTCTTCTGAGGCTGCACCTGGGGACATTGTTGTGGGTGGTGGAACCCTCATCCCTGTGGCGATCTGGCAACCCTGGGACTTTTGCCCTTCCTGTCAGCTCTCCTGTGTGTTTGTAGGATGCCACCACACTGAGTGCAGTCAGGTTAGGCGAGGATGGAGAACTCAGGAAGGACCACAGCAGCGGGCAGCAGGGTGCCTCAGGCACTGGCTACCAGGTCTAGAACCCCCAGGGCTCCTCCCGGTCTCTGATCAGTGGAGACTCTGCTCCGAGTTCACAGTTCCAGGGCCAGGCACCCGCCTGTGCCTCTCAGAGTTTGTCTAAGACCGGGGTCGGCAAACTGGCTCACGAGCCACATGCTGCTCCTTGGCCCCTTGAGTGTGGCTCTTCCTAAGCCTGAGGAGGACCCTAATTAAGTTAATAACAATGTACCTACCTATATAGTTTAAGTTTAAAAAATTTGGCTCTCAAAAGAAATTTCGATCGTTGTACTGTTGGTATTTGGCTCTGTTGACTAATGAGTTTGCCGACCACTGCCCTAAGAGGACCAGGCTGGAGCATCGGAGGCCATGCCAGCGGCAGCATTTTAGGGAGCTCGGGCTTTTGCTGTTCCTTCTCTTTCCTTCTCTTCCAGACTCTAGAAAAGCAAGTGTTTTCCATCACTCATAGCAAGATGGAGAGAACAGACACAACCATGCACAACTCAGTCAGAGTATTTTATCACGTGCAGAAAGGTTACGTGTCAGGCATCCTCCCTCTGCACCGTCGCCCTCTCTGGGTTCTGGACCAGGCAGACACTACCCCTGTGGCTCTCCACCAGTGGGTGATTTCATGCTGCAGCTCTGGGCACAGAGGTGGGCATGCTGCAAGGTGGCTGTTGGTGGGGAGGCCTGCCAGGCCCTGACCATGGCCCCCTTCCTGTCCTCAGATGCTGGTGACATGATCGAGATGCAGGGCTTTGGGCCCAGCCTGCCAGCCTGGCACCTAGATCCCATGTGTAGCCAGGGCTCCTCCTGCTTCTCCTGCTCCTCCAGTAGCTCCCCATATGCAACTCCCAACCACTGCAGCTGTGTCCCCGACCGGTGAGTGGGCAGGGAGAGCACTTCCGTGTGAGTGTGTCCATCCATGTGTGTGCGCCAGTCTGTCCTTGGGGGCTGTCACTTGCCTGACAGGGTGGCCTCAAGTTGG